ACACATATGCATACGTGGACAGGATCGTCGTGCGTGCCACTTTCTTTAAAAGATCACACCGCCGCGTCACTTTCACGATGTGAAAAAAAGCTTCGATCGCCACAGAAGCGATTTCGGGCAATTTTATCGCGAAAACCGAACGCGAAGTAATTGCGGTGTTATTTCCTGGCGTCGATAAAATTGCGGCGAGAGAGAAACGCACGGAAAGTACTTATCGAAATGTCGGAGGTATATATTGATACGATATACGGAGGGAAAAGGTGGCATCAAACAGTTTTATAAGCTTAGGGGTAGGTCTTCCTCGGTAAGAATTAATCGAATGTGCTTTCTCCGTATCTTTTCGAAACTTTCAACGTTTTACGTTCTCAGCATACGTAATTCAATCAATATATTTCACATCTTCACGTTTTGCGTTGAATTGTGACATAAATATTTTATACTGTACTTTCCTGAGAATATAAAATACCGCGTTGTCCAAAAGTTAGAATTATTCCAAATTAATCTGCGAGTTGCGAGCGTTGATTTCTCGCTCGGGTGTCGGTTGTCGCGAATTTTATCGCGTATGTAATTTGTGTAAGTTTAAATGTAAAAGAAAAATTTTCCCATTTGTTTCAGAAATTGCCGTCTTTCTTCAACAGCAAGCCGACGCGAGTGGACAAGTCGGACAACAACAATGCGAACAATTCCAACAGCACGAGCAACAACATTCACAATATGCCGCTGCATGAATCCATCAGCGCTACTTCTCCCGAAGTATACGGTACGTGAGAACTCTATTATTATGTGAAAATCACCTTATACCTTACCTTATACGGCGCAGGTGAGGAAACGCGCCGGTCGTGCCGCGCTATCATTTAATATGCCGTCGACCGAATTGCGTATTTAAGACGCCGCGGATACGCATTTGAATAAAGCGCTGTTACGTTAACGTGAATTACAGTACGATACAGAATTACAGCATATATACGAGAGATATTATTTACATATTCCTTTCGGAGAGGCGGTTCTCCGTTTGCATTCCGCAAACGGAATGAACAGTTCAACAAGAGAATTAAGTGTATCCTCCATAGTTGAGATTGACAAAATCGTGCAGGATTTGTATACATCATGAAAATATTCCGTTGTAGACAAAAAAAAAAAAGAAACTTGCGAACAGAGACTTACGTAACTTCGCGGAGTACACAGCCGCCTCATGTGTGTTTTTATCTACGCGGAAAAATAGCCGGGAGACTGCCCATGAGCCCCAGGAGGCGGTGAAGTATTACGGCTCCAGACTGACGGAATTCGAGCGCGCCGAGATCGAGAAGTACTCGGAAATCTGGTATCTGGGTCTGTCGGCTCACAAGATCCACGGCGAGGAGGTCTCCTCCCAGAACGGCGGCTACGACGACGAGAACGGCAGTTACAACAAGGTCCTGCACGATCATATCTCCTACAGGTGAGCGTCCGTCCGTCCCTCTTTCTCCGATTTCCTCTCGACGGCTCTCCTCCTTCTCCTTCCTTCTTAATTGTTATCGCCGCGCCCGATGTTCGTTTCGCCGAGTGCACCAGCTGGGATCGTTGCAGCCGGCGATGGAATCTCGCGCGATCGCGCGTACTTGCATTCCGCGCGTCGTTACTCTCGAGCGGAGAAATTGCGGTTGAAAGCTGCGCAGTTGCGTCTAAATGCGCAGCGATAAATCGCAGTAAATCCCGCGAAGCGGGCAAGTAAAAATACGCGACGACGAAATTTCACGCGGGTTCGGCAATTTACGCGAGCGCTTCTTTTCATCTTTCTTTTCCTTCCGTGGATTTCGACCGTTTTTTCACATGTGTGTGTGTGTGGGGGGGGAGGGGGAGGGGTGTGTATGTCAATTATATTCGAAATTCGTTCGCATTTCAGATATGAGATCCTGGAGGTGATTGGTAAGGGAAGCTTCGGTCAAGTGATCCGAGCGCTGGATCACAAAACGGGACAGCACATCGCTATCAAGATCATCAGGTACGCGGAAAAGAAACAGTCATCTCACGATGACTCACGATGACCGCGGTCAGTTGCGATCTAAAAAGATACGTCCGTAATGAATAATATCCGATACATCCGGCATTTTTCCGTGCGCTTCCCGAGCGTATCGCGTGGTTTCTTTATTTAAACAGCGTGGCTTTCACTATCCTTGCAGAAACAAGAAGAGGTTCCATCATCAGGCTCTCATCGAAGTGAGAATCTTGGAGCATCTCAGAAAGAAGGACTTGGAGGCGAACTCGCAGCACAATGTGATACACATGCTAGAATATTTTTACTTCAGGAATCACCTGTGCATCAGTTTCGAATTAATGAGGTGAGCGATAATGCGGAGTCGAGCCTCCACCCGCGCGAGAGTTCGTTAACCCGGACGAATAAAATTGTCATCTCGTTACAGCTTGAATCTGTATGAGCTAATCAAAAAGAACAATTATCAAGGATTCAGCCTGAGCCTAATCCGTCGTTTCGCCAACTCGCTAATTAGTTGCCTGAGACTGCTCTACCGAGAGAACATCATTCACTGCGACTTGAAACCGGTGAGTAACGCACCAAGAAGCGCCCGCACGATCATGTTTTATTCACCAAGTTAGTCCCAAGTGCCGTGTCTCACGTACGTCGTTATTGTTACAGGAAAACGTGCTGTTGAAACAACGGGGGAGCAGCTCGATCAAAGTCATCGATTTCGGCTCGTCGTGTTACAGCCATCAGCGCGTCTACACCTACATACAGTCGAGGTTTTACAGAAGTCCGGAAGTGATTCTTGGTCTTCCCTACGGTACGCCGATCGATATGTGGAGCCTGGGCTGTATCTTGGCTGAGCTGTACACAGGATACCCGCTGTTTCCGGGCGAGGACGAGATAGAACAGCTCGCCTGCATTATGGAGGTTCTTGGTCTGCCCCCGGAGCACATTATTAATCACGCGACTCGTCGCAGGCTCTTCTTTGGTAAGCTACCGATACTCGAACACTGGAAACCCCGAAGGCTAAAGTGCCCCTACCACTAAAGATAAGAGATGGGTGTGCCACGCGGTGTGACACTCAAAGAACCGGCTCTAAAATCATTTCAGATCAAAAGGGAAGCCCGCGATGCGTGACAAACAGCAAAGGCAAGAAGAGATGGGCAGGTAGCAAGAACCTCTCATTGGCTCTTCGGTGCTCCGACATGCTTTTCGTGAACTTTGTTAGCAGATGCCTCGAGTAAGTTTCTTACAATATACATTATTTTTGATTAGGTATTAGTTGAAGACTCTATCATCAATCACATCGATATGAAATCAATTTTGTTAGTATCTACGTCTTCGTAGGTTCTGAAGTGATTTTTAGTTGATAAATTGTTTTATAGAGATTGTAAAGTTTTTTTTATATATTCTCTTACTCTATTCACCTATCACGAATTTTGTACTAAATAATTTTTGACATTATCAGGTGGGATCCAAAGAAGCGTATGACTCCCGACGAGGCAATGCGTCATGAGTGGCTGACTTCGTCGTCTTCTTCGCATGTGAGCTCCTCTTCGTCGGCGATAGCCTCGTCGACAGTGAATGCGAGCGCGAATACGACGACAACAAATGTCGAGACGTCGCGGGAATCTGCGCACGCTCCGCAGACGGTGAGCGTGACTGTGAGTGCGCCGCGGCAACGGGCGACTACGATGGAGGACCCGCCGTACACGATGTATCGGTTGTACAAGGGTCGCAAGTATGTGCAGAAAGTCTCCACGGGCACCGACGGAACCGACAATGGCGGTGGCCTGATGGTGAAGAGCAAGCTGAACGGCAGCGCGAGCAGTCACGCCTTGGCGAGCAGTACGCAAACAGCTACATCGAGGCACGCGTCGACCGGCGACATTGTTGCGAGTCTGGATCCGAATCTCGACGACTCAGGCACGTTCCTGCCGCCGATATTGTGAAGTCGGGTTTGCGCCAGCCACTTTTAAACGCGCTCTACTCGCGTATCGACGTGATCGGCAGACTCGCTCTTGCATGGACTGCTGCGGGAGGCGCATAGACGCGTATCGTTTGATCTACGTCAAGAGTGGACGCGATTGAATTGAAGGCGCGTATAGAACTGGCTGGCCGGTCCCGACGTTACCGTTTCTCGATGCCAAACGGCTAGTTAAACGCAGAGTCGCTAGTCTCGGCTAGTATCGAGCTATGAGGCCAAAATGACGATCTGACGATGGGAGAAGAGCGCGCGGGCATGACGAAACAATATAGCGATCGCGTGATCGATTCGCGCGCTCCCGGGGACTCTGGCGATCCAATGTCACTCAGGTAATCGTAACGAACTCGCGCGCGCGCGCATTATCGTAGTTACTCGCGAAACACGTAGACTCGCTGCCTACGACGAGGATACTAGCAATCATTAGCAAATACTGATACGTTTCGATATGGACCATCGTACCTATCTAGTTTAAATGTTTATCTCGTGCTTTGCTCTACGAAGCACACGACGTTAACAGATAATGAAATCGTAGATGTAAACGAAAATTACAATTCAAAGTTCGCGTAGAACGCGTAGTTTGCCTTGCTGTCGATCCGCCGTGAGCGATGATTCATCGTCAGACTGCGTTTCCGGTAAAAGAAAAAAAAAAGAAAGCTCGAACGAGTGAATTTGGAAAGTATATAATAAGCGTCATACTTTAGATAACTACGCGAGTGCAAGCGGCGCGATACGGTGCGCGTATCGTTGATACATGTATCGTGGCAACGAAATATGTAGAAAAGAGAGAAGCTCGTGGCGAAGTATATTATGGTTAAACAACGATTCACCCGACGTCGCGTAACGTCAGGGATTACCATCGAATTACGGTCGCGTCGAGAAGACCTGAGTCGTCCGAGACCTGTGTCGCCAACACAGGGTCGCGCGATTAATAACGAAGCGTCAAGGCGAGGAGTAACATTAATATGTGAAGCGTGCCCCAGTTTAACGAGGCCTGAGTAGTCTTATTGTGATATTAAACTACCACTGTCTTACTTAGATCTCTCTGATGATATTAAGAAGTAACGATCGCTAATATAATAATTTACTATTTCAATTTACTATTAATCATTATTTTCTTATTATCTGTAATAATCGCTATATCATTACTATTACCGTAAAAATATAGCGGCATACATGTAACGAGGATTATATCGTCGATATAATAACAGAATTAATACTACTTATATACATAGACATGTACAGATTTTAATTACGCGTCTTCGAAATCCCGGAGCAGCAGCAGCATGCTAAGTTTGCTTTCTACGAATACGTAAAAAAGCAGCCCGACGATTTTCAGTGATTTTCAGGAATTGCCAATGATTCCCTATTACGTCGTTATATCATTGTCATTAATCATTTGACGTAACGCATGCTTTATTACGTCAGAATTAATTAATTAATGTTGATTAACGCCCCGCGAGATTCCCCGCCTTTGCAGTACTACCTATTTACGCACTGCTCGTAACTTTCTGGATCAATTAGCGATTTGTGATTTGACGCGCCCATTCGGAATTATCACGAAAATTTCGCGATATGCAGAGGATTTGACAAAAAAACAAAACTTATTGTATAGGCATATTATAATGTTAGGCTACTTTTAGACTTGGTAATTGTTCGATGTGCCCGTACTCATTCTAAAGTTTCGCAAGACACACGAGCTCGTAATAATATCATTTTGACGTCAGAAACGTAAGAGAGATGCATCACGACAACCACATTTGCTGCTTTCAAGCTTCCACCACGGAACGTTAACTTCCATTTTTACATGCTTTTCCGATTCTCAAAGGTCCTATTATATGAAGCTGTCTTAGACTTTGTTGAAATTGTAATTCACGTTTCATTGCCGTGATCGAAAATTGATTGGAGGCAGATACGTGAATATCGACATTTGCAAATTACGATCGCGTACAAGAGACTGAAACGAATCATTATTTTATATTGCTAACATGGCGAAAACATGGCGAAATCGTTCCTAATAGTTCATTCTGCAAATCGATATGTCTCCTTACTTTTATTACATTTTTTTAGCGAACTCGTTCGGTTCCTTAACGAAGCATTGCTGTTTGATTCGCGAAAAGTTATCAAACGTCTCACGATGATAATCGAGACGAATAATAAAACTGGACGACTTGCCGTCACACGAAAGGTCCCATTTTAGCCCGTGAATTTTAGGACAATTAATATCGTACCAATTGTAGTGGTATCGCGCGACACATAATCGGTGAATGGCCAATAAATGCGAGTGGGTGAATATATTACATAATATTAAGAATTACATATATAAATATATTATTCGTATGCGGCGAATCTGCCCGAACGAACGACTGACGAAGTAGCGCATATATTACATATGGTATATATGATTACACACGATTTTCACGACTTGTGGCGAGTTCATAGTAGTCGCTCTCGAGTAATCGCGTCAGCGTATGCGTAGCAATGGTCATGAAAGCTCCATCAAGCATTTCATTCGATTGCTCTAGACGAAAAAGGAAAAAAAAATCAGAAAAAAGAAATTCGACAAGGGTAGTGTCTATGAGATGACGTTTTCTAGAGAGAACGAGATTATATCAAATTGTGTATAAAATAAAGATGCGACTACGTGTGCGTGCGTACATGCGTGCGTGCGTGTCTGTAAGGGAGACTCGTATCGGAGAGAAAGGGAGAGCGTGACGTATGATTTATGTGCACACATATATCTATTATACAATTATACATATACCATTATACACGTGAAGCGCGAAATCGCGCAAGGACAAAAGGAGTTAAGTCTAGGATACGTAGAGAATAATTAGAAGAAGGGCGTTCGCGAAAAGTACGAGCGACTCCGCCACTTGTGGAGTCATCGCACCGCCCCTCCAAAAAAAAAAGAAACACTGTTCAATTGTACAGTCTTAAGTTTTTAGTTGTGTTCACTATTGTATACAGCGGGATCAAATTATAGTCTGTATAAACGGGACGATTGTATAATCTGCGTGTGACGTGCATCATTACTTATACAGGTCAACACTCGGCACGCATGTGTCATGCCTAAAAACAAAAAAAAACATACAAACATGTTCGTACAGCGAAAAAACACGCCCATTGATCGGTTCGCTTGACGTTGATTCAATTCTGCTCAAATCGATTGTCTTTTGGAAGAGACAAGAGAGAGTTTGAGTTGCGAGTGATAAAGTTGACCGATTGTGACGAAACCGGGTCTGAAGCGAAAAAAAAAAAAGAAAAAGGTAGAGAATATAATCAATCCAATTCTGTCCGAGAAAGAGCAAGTCAGAGGCGAAAATCCACGAACAATCCTGTCTTTCGACTGAAAACTATTCGACTTTGCACCTCGTCAATTTATCGTTCGCGAACGGATAGTCGTTGTCGTAACGCAATTTGAGATGATTCCTCC